GAAACGACGCGACATTCAACGTGCTAATCGCTGGCATTATTAACGATGTTGATTTATTTTCAACAGCTGCGATCAATTATACGCGCGCATATTTACCTACGGTGCCTCGTCGCGTATGAAACGATTCTACAGGGCGTTACAGAAACTGTTTGTAGACTTTGGGAACGCAGCGAGAAAATGTAAAAGAGATTCTTGTGGACGACGAGCGACATCGCGGCGTCGATCGCGAGCCATTAAGCCTTCCGACGAAGCCTGCGACGGACGACAAAGTCCAAAGACAACATCTTGGTAGAAAATATGTTCGCTTTTTCTCGTTTTTTAATCAAAATACCAAATCCTTTTCTCTGTTCGCGTCTTATGTTCTCTTCGTTTTAGTGTGTGCACGCGCTGTCACACGATGATCGAACGCTCGAATGCTTTAGCTACGGTTAGATCTCTCTATCGATAGTATCGACTCTCGTTATATGATATATTTATATAGGTGATATGTACGAAATGGAAGATTCACGTTTCAGCGTTTCGTTGGTCGCGAGACGGGGGAGACAAACTGTTTCCTTCGCTCCCTTTAAGCTCGTTCGGTTTCTTTACTTTGGTATCGTTTTTCTTTTTTTCTTTTTTTAAATATCCCATAGTCACCGAGTTTCGAAGGATCAAGCACGAGTCAAACTTCTAATCGGATTTAGAGTTTCGCGGTTCGGAAATCACGGAAACTTTATTCTAGTATCGTTTCCTGTTCTGCTTAAAGTTACGGCGAAGTTTGAACCCCGGAAACTTTGGATTCCTGTTCTCCTAGGAGAGATTGGGTTCGCAATTTTTAAATCCCTCGAAAGTCGGCTTGGAATAGGCTGCGTTAGGTCGGGCGTTAGGCCAAACGTCTGATTAGGTCTCTGTTAGGCCCGCTTAGGCCTCGAATTCCATCGAAGTTTCCCTCGAGGCGACAGTCTGGGTTTCAAAATGAAAACTTAATATTTTTTTCTAATCAATACGTAGTTTTGGGAAGTTTATTAAAATTATACCGAGTAAAATAACAACGATATCACGAGTATTAAATTATTTCTCAAGTATTTCTACGTGCAAACGTTGAATAAAAAATTATGTCCGTCAAAATGGCGACTCTCGAAGTACCCCAGACTGCCCCTTAATCGTCGAACAGTTTAATCTCTCTCGTCGCGCGAGAAACGATCGCCGATCACTCTCACGGCGCATCTTCTTGCGGTCCAGAAATCGCCAGACTTACGGTAGGTCTATCTTAATCTGTACTCTGTCTAAATGTCACTGTGCGGACCTACGTCACGGAGCAAAATTACACGGGTGCCTTAATTGTCTTAGATCTACGTCAACTTGCTTGACGGCACACGTAAGTTAGATATACAGCTGTATGTATATTTATATTTATATGTATATAGATTCCATATAATATGTATATGTATATTTACATCGCTTAATGGTACATTCCTTAAGTGTCTATTTTGTTTTGTAACGTGTTCACGATTAATTCACGAGGTGCCATTTTCTTTTTTCCATTTTTTTTTCTTTTTAATCCTCCACGACCTCTGGCAGCCGTGCAACGGAACTGAAATAAAATCTTTCGCGCCCTTTCACCCCCTCTGTTAATCCGCGTCGCTGCCATTCGTCGCCGGAAATGGATCGAAAAAAAAGAAATTTTCCCTTTTCATCATCCGGTTAAGCGAGCGTTTTCCAATTTTCGCCCAAAGGAGGTGCGTGTTATTTTCATCGCGATCGCGTGTAAAAGTCTGAAAGCAGAAGAAGTGGCGTCAAACAGCGTTACCTTCGTCCGAGACGATCGAAATCGTTGAATATTTCTCGCTAATTATTTTCGTGGGGGTTGTTCGAATTTGACCTGGACTCCTTTCCCCCCAATGGACTCTAAGAATCGTTTGTCGTCGCCTTTGATTTTTTTCTACCTAAAAACGACAGATTACTCCCGACCGGTATTACGTTATATTCATATTTTTTTGTTGTTTCCACTTTTTTTTGTTCCTTTTAAATATTTTCTAGTAATTTAATTTATCTACTTTTAAAGATTTACTTCACCGACGGTATTGTCATGTTAACTGTGCCCATCTCGAAAGTCCAGATCAAAAGTATTCTTTTTTTTCCTCGCATTATCGTCCCTGGTCCTCGCGTTGAAAATCGGATTTCCCCGGGTGAAACGATCGTCTGTAGATCCTCAGCGAGCGCCGAATCCATCGCTATATCTCCGTGTCGATTAACGGACGAATCGTCGAAGTTTATTATCCGGTTCGCTCTCGATGGCGGTTCGGGGGCTCTGAAATAATTCACGAGGGCGTCCGACGATTCTGCACGCGTTTCGAGTATCGAGGATTTCGGACAGTTTTCGAGATAATCTTTTTCAAAGATCTCTTTCTCTCTTCTGTCCGTTCGGGGGAACAAGCGACTCGACGGATTCACGGTTTTTATCAAACGATTCCAGTTAAAATGTTGACTCTAGTTCCTCTACGAGCACGAATTAAAAGAAATTTTATAAGGGTGATTTCCGGGTTGGCTTTTACATTTTATATCCAACGAACGTTATTTACAATTTGTCGACTATTACGATCCACGCAACGAAATTTGCCAGATCGAACGTACCAAAAGGAATTTTCGACGACGCGAATATTTCCGTCCGGGCGTCGAGGACGGACCACCCATTTCCGGCGGAGTTCACGAGACGGTGAATTTATTTACAACGATTTCGAGAGCCGAAAGGACAGCGGGGAAGCGAGTTTGTCCAATTTCGTGGGTCGGGGGCGAGTCGTAGCATGAATTCCACGGCTAACTGACACGATCCGTCGTCTTGCCTCTTCCATTTTCGTCTCGACGAGCAAGTGGCACTCTCCCCTGTTCGACGACGCCGTCTCGAGCCACGGGAACGCAAGTCTGCACTTAACCCGCTGAATTTTCGAGAGACCAGCCCCTGTGAATCCTTAAGCCACTTTCGAGCAGTTACTGTTCACCGGGATGGCCATTTTTGCCCCGCGAAGGGCGTCGTTTCCCTCGAATCTGGCCTCCGAAGTAGCCTAGGGAATCTTCTGGCAGATTATATTCCGACAGGTTTGTTTTATGGACCGGATGAATCGACGATTATTCTCAAGCAACTGTTTCTAAACTTTGACAAGAGATCGGAGGAAATGATAGAGAATTTAAGATTATCTTGGAGCAAGGATGTCCAATTAAATTGGGCTTCTTGGAATCTTCTTATATTATATTTGAACATTTTGTTTCGTGATTTGACAGGTGATGATTCTGAAGCAACGACAGTTTGTAAATTGCCACAGAGAGATTAACTATGATAAAAGTAGACCGAGCAATTATATTAGAATTCTTGGAATTCTCTTACATTATATTCGAACATTCTGTTTCATGATTTGATAGGTGATGATACTAAACCAACGACAGTTTGTAAATTGCCACGGAGAGATTGTTGATGATAATAGAGAATAGAGGATTCAAGTTTATCTTGGTGCAATTGAATAAGACTTCTTGGAGCCCTCTTAGATTACATTCGAACATTCTATTTCATGATTTGACAGGTGATGATTCCAAACCAACGACAATTTGTAAACTGTCACAGAGGTACTGCCTATGATCAAAGTGGACAATAGAGGATTTCAGATTATCGGTTGCTTCAGTTCAATGTACCATTGCCCCAACAATCTAAGCTCGAACGGTTTAAACCGATAGACGTTAGGAGGAAATTACTCAGCTGACGGTTGAATGAATCGAATGCTTCTGGACTAACCACTTTAATATACCACGCAATTGGCGAAGTATTTTGGGGCCAGTAATTTTCCTTGGAACAATTAGAATACGATATCGTCTAACTAAATTGAGCTTCCCTGGCATGACAGATACTATTGTTTTAGCTCGAGCAACTATTCGGGCTGATATCCACTGTGACAGGTGTAAGGAGACTATAGTTGTCGCGTCCTGGCCGGTAGAGCCAGTTCGTGGGCATCGATTAATCCACCAGGCGTTCGCGAGTTTCGAATATGTAATCTGGGCAAGCTAGTGAATCGGTAATCCGTGGATCTGATTCGATTCTCGATCCAGTCAAATCATTTTTAACGAAAGAATTCTACGGTAGTCTCGAAGGCTGACTCCTAAGACCGACTTTTCCCAAGAATTTTCTTTCCCCTCGCAGTTTCGACGCCACTCTATTTCCTTAAACTTTTGTACGAATCCAAAGTGTCCCGAATCCGGGCCAGATCGACCAGCAGCGTCTCCAGACGCGTCGAAGTTGGCCGATTCCGGTTGGAAACTTGGCGTCGTACGTTTTAAACTCGACAATCTTGGTTCCCGTGGCTCGCGGTCGAACTCGAAACAGAACCACGCGGCGTACGATCGCTCGACGGCCAAAATTACCACGAACCTTCGGAACAGGAAGCCAAAGCCATTCGCGTTCGATCCCGCGGACCACGTTCTTATGTAAAACCGAGCACTTGTTGCGTTTCGCTAATGAAACTTTTGTCATGTGGCCATCGATCGCACGAACAGGTGGTTAATAGCCGGTATCAACTGTTTACGCTCCGATTCGAACGTACGATTTTCCCTCGCCGCCGTTTCGATCACAAACGTCGCCAGATTCTCTATTATCCGTTCGAAATCGTACGTTCGTTCGAACTCCTCGATAACCTGGATCTCGAACATTCGATCTGGCACCAACGATCGCGTCCAAACGCCTATTAGTTTTCGTTTTCACGGGGGAAGGAGGGGGGCGTGTCTAGTCGATTCGTTTCTATCCGGGTCGCCCGGTTTCTGGCGCGAGAGGGTAAAATCCAGTGTAACGATTGTCGTGTTTCGCTGGGAAATCGATATAGACCGTTTTCCGTCAGCAGGACGTCCACCGTCGAGTCGCCCAGCCCGAGACGTTCGTGCGACGCGTAACTCGTTAAGCTGTCCCCCTGTTTTCTTTTGACCTCCCCAACCGATAGACACCATCGTTCGATCAATCTTTTAACCCTCGTACACCCCCACCGTGGCGAATACTAGCCGAGACTTCGGTCTAATAAATCTGTCTCGCCGTTAACGATGAACAGGGGACACCCTGTTACCATTCCACGGAAAAAGGAGCCGACGGCGACAACCCCCGCGTTTAATCCCTCGTTAAATTCTCGTCTGGTCCGTATCCGGGAATCGAGATCCTGTCCCTTTTCGTTTCGGTGAAAAGTACACGTTCGACGGTGTCGGAGAGGATCCATCGATCCGCGCAACGATTAACGGAGGGGCGTTAACCGCTCGACGAGAGATCTTCGGACCGTGAAACGAAATCGCCGATAACCGCGCGGCTGTGTCGATCCGGAGGGCTCGATCGATACGGGTCCCGTTTCCCTCTCACGGTTTAAATTACTCTTGACAACACCAGGATCGACGACAGCGCCGTGATCGCCAGGGAGTTTCGTAGATCCTTCGTTCCCGCCGACACGCTCGACGCTATCGCATTGTTGCAGGCCTCTGGCGCTGGATCTAGAACACACCGAGGAATATAGATCGCCGGGGGCGCTAGAAATCTTGACGGAGGGCCGCGCCAGCTATGCCCGCATTTATTTTACTTTGTAAATTGGCCACGAAAGTCACGTTAACTATTTTTATAGATCAAACGGGGGGGACCATTGTTACCGAAATAGAGAAAAGTTGTGGGACAATTGGTTTTCCCCATTGAAAGCATAGGAATTTTATATATTTCGTTTTTTATTAATAAATTCTATTACAATAATACCTGTGGTTGTGTTTATTAAAAATCAAAAACAAATTTTTAAGAAAAATCGACGGGGTTAAGCCTAAATTTTTCGGTGAACAGAAATTTTTTCAAATCATTCTAAAAAAATTTCTTTTATTTGCGAGGGTCAATTGTAATAATTTTTGGTGAATAGACATACCCCCCAAAATCCTATGTACTTTCGAGAAAAAAATTCGAGTAGGTGAAGAAATTTTTCGTCAAAATTAAAAAATTTCAAATTGTTCTGAAAAAATTGTTTTCGATTGCATGGGTTAATTACAATTTTTTTGGTGAATAGATATACCCCCGAAGTCCAACGCACTTTTGAGAAAAATATTCCTTACTAAAAGTATAATGTCTGACCATAAATGAATGATTCCCCTAAAGTTTCATGCGTAAAACAACGCGTATTTTAGCAAAGAATATTTAGAAATTCCAAGAATATTGGAAAAGCTTTTCCTTAAACCCGTGAAGTGAAATAAACTCCATAAAAATGGCCCAATCCTTCGATTTTTTCACTTCATATGTAGGTATAGTCTAATTATCCGACATATTTGATCTTCCAGCATTGCCTCAGCCCCAAATATGCTGTATAATCGTAATTTTACTGTAGGAAGAGAACGTAAAACAATTACCTGCCTTTCAAACACAGGATATTTATCATAATCTATATAGGAAAATAACCTAAAACGAACGCGTAGCTATCGAGAAAAGAAAAATAAAATGCAAGGAGGTCGAAGTAATCGGAAAGAAGGGCGAGAAAATGAGTCGTGAAGTCTGGAAGTCTCCTGATGAGTAAAAAATAAATAGCCACGTAGAAGATGAGAGGTTTGAAATATTAGCAAGGGGTTGCAGAGTCTCGCAGACGTAGCAGTAATGGCGGAAGGTTCATCCGAGCAGCGCGTCGAGGTGGACTTTTCAAAGGTGGGGGGATGAGAGATGTGATCAAGTTTACGACCATTGTACAGGGACTCGGAGAATTTTGGACGTGTACACAAGAAGCAAGACGGGACGAAAGATAAGGACCGTGCACAACGTCGCAATAATAAGAGGGAGATTACTAGAGACTGCAGATAAGAGAAGCTTCTGAGGAATGGAGGATGACGAGACGCATATAGAACACGAACTCTGGAGCGATACAGATTCGCCTGGTGTTCGAAAATCCGGGAACAGTTTCTGTCTATTTTTCAACTATTTTCGCGAAACAAATGCCAACCTATTGTCTGAGATAGAAGAATGGACCGATTGACACGGTCTCTGTTTTTACGCCAAATGATACGTAAGACAAAGTTGAGAGTTGAGAGAAAAAGAGGCGAACGAATGAATTTTCGAATTCTCAAAAAAATAGGTTTCAAAACATTTGGTCAACTTTGACGCGACTGAGCTGACGAGTACAACGAAAAATCGAAAGAAAAATGGTAAATGGAGGAACAAAGTTTTCCGTTTCGCGGACGTCCTTTGTAATCTCTGCCGGCGACGCGGTTGGAATTCGCGGAAAATTGCGTCGCGCAGGTAAGAAGGGAGGAAAAACGCCACGATCTCTCGAAGGATAACGAGTTTCCGGTCCGGCGGTCTTCCGCCTTTTGTAATTTCCAGCGGGCCGAGTTCGCGGGTAATCGAGCTTCCTTCCAACAGCCGTAGCGTTGCTTGTTTTTCGAAACGGCCGGAGAAATGTTTGCCCCGGGCCGTGCAAGTTTGGTCCTGGACCGACGTCAGATCCACGGAAAATAACAAGGCATGTGCATATTGTCGAGTTAACGAAGAGAGAAGTTTGAGTTTAAGGGAGCTGCCACGCTGGCCTAGCTTCTAGCCTCGTTATAATCACCGTCGATCGTTTTCTCGGGGTTAACAGGTTACTGGCGGTTCGTCATTAGGACCGACGATCGTCTAAAATTTTGATTTTAGGGGTCCTCGAATCGAAGCAAGAAATGAGGCCTGTTTTTACGAATCTCAAGCTTAACGTGTTTTGATATATTTTTATGTGTAAACATTCGTATAAATCGAAAACGTAATTCGAGATCTTAAAACGAATTAATTCAAATTCCGTGAATTGTTTTATACAGCAGATATAATTAATAAAGCCTCCTCATATCGTTCTTTTATCGAACCAGAGCAAAATGGCGAGCCCCGGATAATTGTGAAATAATCTATGCAACGAGGCGAGATTTAATGAGCAACGTGCAAAAGCGTCGAGCAAACATCTTAAATGGTTTTCGCGTAATAAAATTCCAAAGACCGCTCTAGTTTCTCCCCGGCGTCTTGGCTAGAATGCCCTTTTAAGTACCAAAGATCGATGGGGCGCGTCGACTCACGCGATCTTGATTTACGTCAAAGTTTCCGGCGCTCTGAACACGGTTTTTCGCCGCTACGGGAAGTTGTTATTGTTAAAAGAAGCCCAGCACGGCAATTTAGATCCGATTAAAGGGAAATTAAATGTCCTGTTAATTAACGCCAGGAAATTGGTGGGTGGCTGGTACATTCTAACGACTCGGCTAATTTCAGGTTCACGGACGAAAGCGAAACCCGTGAATCAAGAACGTTGATCCGGAATTCTACGTGTTACAGAGGCTCTTGGAACATCGACTCTTCGTTTTTTCCAGCTAATAAAATATTACTTAAGCTACCTGATTTAAAAAAAATGTTTTCTGCGATCGCATCAACGCGAGTCGAAGAGATTTTTGCCAGTGATTAATAAATGGTGAAAGAAATCGATATAAAAGAATTATTTTTTGTAAAATGAGAAATGAAATCCCAATTGACGTGTCTAATAATTTTCCTCCTTGAACGTTGGAGGTTTCTCGTTGGATGATGATCGATGGAGGTCTTCTACTACTTTCGACAGTAGATTCGATCGCGTTGTGGTCAGACAACAGGTTCCATAGGACCCGCGAACGAATTTGTAAAGAAGACAGGTCCGTTGTATTTGGTTTTCCAATATTAATCTCGGGATTGCGAGTGGCCGGAGCCCTCTGCGGTCGAGCTATTTCCCATGGATCAATCTCCGGGGCCGATCGGTTATCGAAAGTAGCGGGGGTGTCGTAAAAATTGCATTTGCAGACGTCTCGGCCATTTCCTAGGCCACTCGCGGTCGTCAATCCGACTTTCAACCTTCATCAAGACGTGGACTTCCCTTTGGAAATTTCATGACTTTTTTAGAGGACATAATATTTCAAAGAATTCTAAATATTAAATATACACACGAACAAAGTTTGAATCTTTGGGAAAATTGCGTTTTCGAACGCGCTACAAATGGCAATTTTATGTACTTTCGCGCCAGATGCCGGAAAAGCTTAAAGCTTGTGTTTTATATGAAAAATAGAGATCCCTATGGAAAAAGTGAGTTCTGTTCTGTTAAATGTCCGCCTCGTTAATTCTGGGTGTCATAGTTTGAATTTCAGTGCCCATTTTTTTCAAGATAAACTTTTCCGTACACGGAACCTGTACATTTTTCATGAAATGTCACGATTTACAAGTACATATACGAAACTGGTTCCAATTTTTGTCAGCGTGAAAAATTCGAAAAAATTGAATTACCGAAAGGGAATGCGAACGAAGGGAATGTTTTACGTGATCGAACAATAGATTTAATCCGAAACGATTGCGTACAAACAAGAGCAGAGAATTATGCGGGGGAATACAAAACGAGTCCACGCGTGCTGGAATGCGTGACGTCGAAACAACAGCTGTCGGGATAATGGAACGCGGAGAGCTGGCATGGAAAATCTGCCCGGATATGGATAGTAAGGGCTTGAATTATTTATCGATGCAGCGTCTCGAAAATACGACAATTTCAGAACGGGACATCGAACTCTGAGAAATCTGAAAAATGGGCAAATAAAATTTCTTATCGAAGATCAGCGATTGGAGAAAAGCTAATTACCTTATTTAACCCCTTGCCATACAATAACGAGTCTGATACGTCACAAGTTCTTGATGTCAAGTTTCACAAATATGAGTCTACTCACTCGTCATCAAGTCTTATGAATTAATATCAACAGATTTTTACATTCACAAGGTAGTCGTAAAACAAATCTATTCTTTTTCGTGACCATTTTTTGTACGAATTTAAACCAAATTTAATAGTATACGTTTGAAAAATTATTTGGTATTAAACCGTACGTTAAGGGGTTAAAATGTTACTCGATATATTGGTTTTATCGTAGATTCGATAATGTTGGGAAACGTTTACGAGGAATAAATAATGAGAAAGGTGAAACGTGACCAAGTTGAAGGAAGGTTCTGAAGGGAATAGGGAGAGAATTTGAGCGAAAGGGGGAAGGGAATGAAAAATGCATCAAAGAAGATAGCAACAAGCCACGAGAAATGAACACGAAAAGGGTAAAAGTAGCAGGAATAATTAACGCAGGAAAGAAGTAGCGCATTGGTGGTTCTATGAAAGAGCCGTCTCCATAACCAACTAACAAGAAAACGAGAGAGAGGAATTGCGGGACGAGTAAAACGCGTTGAATTAGCGTCCGTACGTACCTAGTATTCCGTGCAGCCTTGGCAGAAACTCGTTCCAGAAGGCACACGACGTAGTGCGCGGACCTTTGCCCAGGCCCGTCCTCTCGGCGTTGAAAATAAAATACTGTGGCTGATCCCTCGAATACGGTGGCCAGTCGGACGTCGGCTTCCTGGAAAAATAATTCACGAGATAACGGGAAACGTCAGACAAGGAGTCGCTACGGCTCCCTAGGAGCAGACAATGGAAAACGTGTCGAGAAACAGATTGGATGCAAGAAAGCTACGGATATAGATAACACCTCTCCTTGGTTTCCCTTCGAAAACATCACGGTTCTTTTCTTTGTTTAAAAACGTCCAACCTAATCGAAATCCTTGGAACGATAAAAATTTATTTAACTATTTTCGCACTTCGTTGGGAATTTAATAGTCATCTAAAATTAGTAATATTCTCGATTTCAAAGTTTCAAGGGATGGACAAAAATTTTCAGCATCGATCTCAATTTTTTATTTGCCTCCGGCTGTAGAAATACATATTTAACCAACCGGTTACTTCGATTTTTGAAATTCAATAGATTTGATAGAAACTTTGATCTTTGAAATTTAATAGAGTCATCTAAAATTAGTAACTCGATTTCAAAGTTTCAAGGGATGGACAAAAATTTTCAGCATCGATCTCAATTTTTTATTTGCCTCTGGCTGTAGAAATATTTAGCCAACCGGTTTCTTCGATTTTTGAAATTCAATAGGTTTGATAGAAATTTTGATCTTTGAAATTTAATAGAGTCATCTAAAATTAGTAACTGGATTTCAAAGTTTCAAGAGATGGATAAAAATTTTCAGTACATTTTCTAAAAACGAGAAAGAAACTCAAGAGGTACGAACAAGGATGTTGATTTTTCTGTAAATGTCGTTGCTGGATATCCTGTCGTAGATCGCCGGGGGAAAAAATTGTTTTGTCGATAATTAATTTAAGTTGCACGGAACGCGTCGCGAGCAGCGTCAGTTAACCAGCCTCGTTTAAAGTTGTTAACAACCCGCGTCGGATAACAAATTAAACCGGCCGCTCGACCGGTGTTATTAATTATTTAACGCGCGACTGTCTTTCGCGATTCACGCAAAGTGCCTGTCAAACACTCGCCGGACTAATTTCCATTCGTCGATCAGTCATCGAGAGGTCATCGGGAGGCCGATCCCGTTTTATTAATTAGCCTGCTCCGAAAAAGGTCGTCGTCCTGTCTCGCGAGCTTTTCGTCCAACGAAAATTAAATTAGAGTTAAAATCGTGAAAATGAGCGCAGTTTTCCATCGTTTGTTTTCGTTATGATTTTTGTATGTTCTCAATTTATTCCCAACTTTTGGGGTTCCCTTTTTTTAACAAATGATTGTTTTCATTTGGCTCAGAGATTCGCAAGATTTACAAAATTTTCAAGCGATTAAATTTGGAAGATGGCACTTTCACAATTTTATAAATTTTTCTTTTTTCGAGGACTCTGATTTATTCTAGCGTATTTTATAATTTTTATTGACAAGAGCATTCACCATTATGTACTACTATATTTGTTACTTAGAATATTACTGCCACAACGTCGGTGAGTCTTTGCTTCTTACAAGCAAGTGAAACAGGGCTTAAAATGTAGGGCACGATAAATTGAAACCCCCAGAGCATTAATTGTCCATTATCGGCTATTTTTGTAAAAAAATAGTGTTTGAAAATTAAAATTTACCCTACAATTTTACTAGAAAATTATTTTCTTTGAAAAGAAACTATTTGAAAGAACATGATCCATGCTTTCATAACGATTGAAGGTCAGGATAATTAACGTCCATCCTTGAATGCCTTTAAATAATTAACGAACGTCCTACTGGTGGACGGAACCACCCGAATAGGTCGCTAACTGTGTCGGGAAAGAAATTGTAGCTGACTGATAGATGATATCCGTCCAACGTTTGACATATCGAGTTGTTTGTATCGACGTCAATAAATAATTCCTCGCTTTCCGTGTAACCCGAATTGTAAACCCACGCGAATTACCAGCCGTGATGTTAATGTTTAATCGACGTAGCCAACTGCACCTTTGCTCGGAATTAATCCGTCGGTTGACATCTTGCTGGAAACCGACGACGCCGACGGACGCAACATTCTATTTTTCTGTTTTTTGTCCCCCCACTCTCTCCCCGGAATTATTAATTGTCTCCGGATATAAACATCTGTGCCACTTTCGAGATTAAACGTCACTGCCGCGGGTATCACCCGGTGTATTTTTAGCCAGATTGGAGAAATTTTGGGTTCTCCATATCGAGGACGCCCCGGAGCAAGTACAGCTGTGCACAAAAGTTTTAAATGGCTACCTTTTCTTGGTAAATCGGTCGAAATTGTTACGAGATGGCCTTGAAGAAAACAATCTGTCCTCGAGTTAAGCGGGATATTCCAAACCAAAGTCAAATTTTCTACGAGATTTCATTTTAAAATGGATACTATATAATTGACAATTTATCGTGGTATTCTATTCTAAATTAAATCGAAATTCATCGTGGCCTATTTAGATTTAGGGATTATTATGCGAGTAATGGAATAAGAAATGCGAAATTTCAATTCCTCGCGGAGTTAATTCCCTTCCAGCGTCTCAGTCCGTAAAATCGATCGAAACGCGTACAACGTATTATAAATATCGTCCGATCGATAATTTCATTTCGTTAAGAGGCGAATTCGATCCGTCCTAATATTCTGCGCGCTTGTTTTCGATGGTAATCTCTTTCCCCCTAGCAACTTCTTCGGTCCCAAGGTCGCGAATCGACTCGAAGGGATAAAAGGTTTCAAGGTAAACTCGAATGGACGAGGAAACTTACCCCGAATAGGCAAAGTTGGAGAAGTACCGTATCATCCGGAGGGACAGGTCGCGTTCCTTGTCGGTGTACTGCAAGGACGTATTTAATGGATGCCCAAACACGTACTCCACCTCGTCACCGTGTATCACGCCCATCCACTCGCCCCACAGGTTGGTGCTCGTCCTCTGAAACACATCGGTTATGTTTGCGTTAAACGTTCGTTCGAATATATTCTCCGGCTGTCGTCGTGCATCACCTCCATTTGCTGACCCCATACATTGACTTTCATCCCACCCAACCTGCCCTTTGACGTAGCATTGCGTCGCTGGGAACCCCAACGAGTCTGACTCGTTCTGAGTTCTTTGTACTCTCTAATAACATGCATTCCTTAAGGTTCTTTTTGAAATTGAAATCCCCTTTCGATTCGTTGTATCGAACGTAGTTATTAAGAAAATTTATTTTAAATAGAAACGTGTATTTTTGTAATTCCTTCGATATCAAAGTGAGAGACTTTAATAATAATTAAAAATTACTCGGTTCGTCCACGTAAATTTCGAAGGGCCAATTTTAAAGGGAGTTTACAAGTACAGGGCGCCCTGTAGCATGTAGGATGCACTACAGAAACGAATCCTACACGAGAAGACAATAAACAAAGATCATATAAACATGTACCCTATTTGACCTCATTTTCAAGTTATAGTAAATTTCTTCTTGAAAACATTGTACTTATTTACCTTCACAATAGGCGTTCAAAGTGACCTCCTTGCATCTAAACATAAGTCTGAAGACGTCCTACAATCGGCTATCTTACCCTCTCTATTTGCCAAGGAATTTTTTATAAGAATAAACCCATACTCATGGTTCATATCTGCTATTTATTGACTAGACAAAGTTTCCATTTTCATACATGATGCATTTCAATAATCTGACACATAGTACTCTAACGTTCATAGGAATAAGTATTTACAAAATTAAAATATGAGATTGAACGTGAAATACTGGGTCCTGTTCATAAATAGTTGAGTGAAATCAGTCCATCACAGAATTATTCCAACACAGAACTCGTTATAACTTGAAAATGTAGTCAAATATAGAACACACGTTTATATGAACTTTTGTTTTTGTTTTCTTGTGTAGAATCTATCTCTGAAGTGATAGATTCGTCATATTTTTTACTATGTTTATTTTCATTACATAATCCTGCAAATATTTGTAAAAGATTTTTTTACACAGACTCTTCTAGACTACTTTCCAACGCAACGTCGACGCAATAAACAATTATTCCAATAAAAATTTGCTTTGTTCGAGTAGTGTAATATTGTTCTGAACGTTCGAGATCGACGATGCTGTAAACGATACTATATTTGTGCCTGAAAAAAAAATGGAATTTCTGCTGACCTACTTAACCGGATGGCTGAACCGGGTGCAGGAGACAGAGTAACGACTGGGTCAGGTTCAAGGAAGCGAGCGCAATACTTATTATAACTCGAGGCACGCTCGTGGCGCACCAAGGCGCCTACCGGAAGCTGAAATTATTCAAATATGATGGCTGCGCCGAAGAATGCAGTCTTTAGAGGATCAGCGAAGCGTCAGCGACCCATAGAGTCCAAGAGCCATTCAGCTTCGGGACATGCTACCCGTTATGGTTATCGTCGCGAACCAGTTTCTCTCTGTTCCCCCGAGCTGGGAAAATTGCTGCTCGAAACAGCCTGAAATTGATGTCCTCGCGACTCTACTTGCTCGTCGATGCACGATCCCGATATCTTCTTTTCTTTTTCCCCAGGAAATATTTGCTTGTGCAGTATTTTGTACAATAAATTGCATAAAACAGAGGCAATCATAAAAAAGTTGCTCAGTTTCTTATTTTTCAGTAGTATAGTTTGAGGTTCATGTAAAGGACAATTTTTTTTTGAGATAGTGAAACTATGTATATCTAACGCGTGTGATTAATTAATTATAAAATAGGCTCAATTTAAAGACTGAAACCACCAATTCCAGAGGTTGACTACTCGTCCCGCGACGCTCGGGAAATTCGATCGCCGCGATTACAATTTTCCATCAAGCACGCGCGTATCCGTTACGCACCAATCGTGCCCTCCCCCCAATTAATTTCCAATCTCTCGCAGGCTGCAAACGCCGGTCGTGTCCTGGAATTCATCGAGTTCTGAAAAACTGAGCTACCCTCTAGCTCGAATCTAACCGATCCTCTCAATCGGACCTAACCGACGCGAGGGAGCAATTATCGACTCTCCGATCCGATCGAAATTCACTTTGAACAGTAATTTAAAAATAATCGTTTCAAATAATTTTAATCGATCTCTCATAAATATTCTATTTCAATCTAAGTTCTTCCTTCGGTGTATTAACAATAAATTGAAATGCTTATTCGAGGAAATAATTGTTAACAAAATTTTTGTTTGTTTCTCAAATACCGTTCAAAGCATCGAATATATCGTCCCCTCAATTGCAATCTTCCTTTTACGCTCCTCCGAGCGATATTATATTTTACAAAGTGAATCAATCGTGTTACAGGAGGGTCGATCGTGCGACAAACCACAAAACGTTGAATCGAAGAAACACACGCGTTATCGTTTCTGGGCTTTCGATCCTTCGCATTTTTCCGTCCGCGCTAAAAAGACCAGAGTTTTTTGCGCCCTTGTAATGGCTGGTTCGCTATTTGCCGTGAACGAGATATACTCGATAAGGGTGGACAAATACTGCAGCAGAAATGCGACGTTATTTAAATCCCGGTATTTGCCGTGCGAGCGCAAACTTCCTGTGTTTACAGATGTCCAGGGACGATGTATGACTGTGTTACTTGGCTGATTTTTTTATAATCGGGAGGGAGGGGGGGGGGGGTGGAAGCAATGGCGAATCGAGCCCGATGCGAACGAAGAAAAAAAACAAACACGCGATAAACTGGGGGGAGAGAAGTTGTTTTTTCCCACCCGTATCACGGTTTCCCCGTTAAAGAAAATCTCAGTTCTCCCAGCGACCGACGCTTAACGGCAACAGACAGAGAATTTCCACTCCCGTTTCCATTTCGCGCTCGATATGAAATAAATCGTCGTTCGAATTGGCCGGGACTTAAGACGGTCGCCAAAGTTGCCCCGTTCAAAGCTTCGGCAGCCAATCAAGGAGCTTTTGTTCTGGAATTCAATTACGATCGATGCTTCCGGCGTTGACCTTTTCGAGGAATAATAACGCGCCAAGGTGGAACTAATTAAAATCCTTACGACTCGACGTTCGAAGGTGTTGGTCGTTACTCTTATTCCCAGATAATTTATACAGCTCGATAACAGCTCCTCCTTAAAAGACAGATGTCTCCAGTTTAATTCCCCCCCATTTTATTAAAAATTTCCAAGTCCTAATACGCTCGTTTTCTGTAATAATTCGAAGAATTATTAATTTCCTGATTTCCTGCCTGTTTACCTATCTCCTTTTGGCTTTATTTGGCAGAAATAAATAGATTCAAACCGGATTAAACTACGCTCGATAGATCCTTCGGTGTAGTGAACAGAGAGAAACTGATTCCAACCGGTTTATATTAGAAGCAAGTTTGTTTAAACTCGTTCAAACTCCATCGAATAGCATGCAAGTGGTTCAAACTGGTTGAGAGTGGAAGTAAGTTAGTTTCATTCGTATCAAACACGCGTGAAACTGATTGCAACCGGTTTATATTAGTACTAAGTTTGTTTAACTTCGTTCAAACCGGTTTGTACCGATCGAGAGTGGAAGTAAGTTTGTTTAAATTCGTTCCACTCGTATCGAACACGCGCCAAATTGGTTTAAACCGGTCCAAACTGGAATCAAGCTTGCACAAATCTTTCCAAATTCCATCGAGCAGCGTGAAATGGTTCAAACCAACTTGAATCGGTGGAAGTAAGTCTGTTTAAATTCGTTTCACTCGTATCGAACACGCGTGAAATTGATTTCAATCAATCCAAACTGGAATTAAACTGGCACAAATCTTTCCAAACTCTATCGAGCGGCGTGAAACATGTTAAAACCGTTAGAGTTCGAGCGGGTACCGAAAAAAACGTGAAAGAGCATAATCAGTCGAACGAAACTCGATACCAGGGCTGTTAATTCAATCTCTGCGAATATCATTTATTTCGCGGCGACGTTCTATTGAAAATTGACGGAAGGGGGGGAAGAGGATTGGGAACGACGCGTTCATAGTATTCCAGCGGAGGTCGCCTTATCAACGGGGCCATTTATTGATTCAGTTCTTTGGGTGTATTCTTAAATTCCACTCGAATCCGTCGAAAATAACTGTGAAGCCTCTGTATAATACGACGTACCGTCGAATGTATAAGGACACGTCGGTGAAAAGCGACGCAATCGGATCGGATGGCCCGAAACCGGAGCAGCCTCGGTTAAATTTATTTCAATCAAACCCGAGGTCGGACGAAATTATCGCCGCTCCCGTAATTGACGCCAACAGGAGGGTGCTGGCGTTTTGTAAAAATATAGCTTCGACTGCGCTGACCAGTTCGAAAGAAGATGGCCGTAGGTAATCGTGACGTCAACGATGGACTTTTATTTCGCGAGCACCGTGACGCTCACTTTTTATCGACCTTTCGCACGACGAGACAGACTTTGGCCAAACGCAATCAAATTACGTTTCCTTACGTGGAAAAACGTGGAATAAAATATAAACTACTGTGAAAAAAATGGAGCTCTGGAAACTTACACAGGAACAAAAGCTACTTGTAAGAGTTAAAAATCGTAATTAGAGATAGAGTTAGGATTGAATTAGCATTGTACCTTATGGATGGAGCTTGCAATTTATTTATATTATCAGAAATAGCAAGCTTCAATTTTAGCAACAATTTTCCCCATCGAGATGGTCCGCTGTTTATTTTTAAAAGCCGGAGCGACGAGTTGAAAAGTTAAACAACGATTTGGAATAGATCGACGTATTTATTCGCCAAACATGGCTGAAACTTGCCAGGGGTACCATTGAATCATTCACCTTGAATTAAGACCGCTTCAGGATCCGGAGGGAAATGCAATTCAGTTTACAACTTTCGAGAATAAGTTGGTTCCGTGTTTAATTCGCGGTCGACGCGAAATGGATTAATTTTACACATCGCGCGCGGCATATTGTTTAACTTTCGCGTCGAGTTCGGTAATGTGTGTGAACACGTGGATGTTCAGCGTTCGCGTTTAAACGGGGAAA